ATTCTATTATAAGTAACTATCTATAGTCTGTATTCAATTATGTATTATGTTTTAAAAGATCAATATAAACACAATACTTAATCAAGAGGAGAAATATACACATCACAAAATTGACCTTGAATTTTTATCAATAAATGAAAAACCATACCCCTCCTATCTAGATTTCTATTGGCTCAACAGTATTTATTAACAAATGTACAGGAATTCCCCCATCAACTAATCAAATAGATATGCTTACTAATTTTTGCATAAAGAATTAGATCTTGGCTAAACATTTGATACTGCAGGATGGAGAGCCTCCTCAACACTTTTTATAGTTGATCAATACTTTAATTTTATAATTGTCAATGATAAGAACTCTGTTTTATATAAATTTACAGCACAAAATGGCAGAAATATGTCTAAGGCCAATTCAGAAATTGCTTAAAAAATAAAATTCAGTCAGCTACTCAAACAACAGTTGTAACAATCAAGCATAGCATGAACAGTCAAACATGGAATGGTAGCATGCATTGTACCAGGTGTTCATGCTGCAACCTATCGTCTCAGTGAAGGGTTGTCTGAGATGTCGTCCCATCAGCATGTGTGTAGGGGATTGTCTTGATTGCCTAGCAAGGACACTATTGAAAAGTTGTAGGCACCATTCATTGGTCTTATACCCTAGGCTGCAGAAAAATAGACACAACTGGTTCTGTAATAAACGTGTATGCTCTTGACTGTGGATGTGACTGGCTGCTTTAAGCTTCTGCCTTGCAACTCCCTGATAAGATTGATTTAATACAGAATTGTTAGCCAGATAACCCCCTGTCTCCTCTAAGTTGCTTTATGTCAAGGTATTTCATCACAGAAAAAGAAATGAAAGTAGGATGTTACCTGTGTCAATCAAACTCATGCACCTAGATTTCAGATCTTTCCCTTGTTTAACCAAATCCCTTCTTGTTTTCTCCTTTGCATTTTGCATTCTGCCTATCTGGGGCTGAACAGTAGCTATGACATGTGCTTCTTACATATTTCCTGTGTTTGAATCCCTTTGCATGGCCAATAGCATTCAAACATCCAGGTCTCTCCCTATCTGAGCATCTTTGTCTAGGTCTTGTAGTACGCCATGAGGTTTTAATCTGGAATCCTGCATCCCGCTTGTTGTTCTTGACCTTCAGCCTTCACCTGCTCTTCCCTGCCTTATCTGAGGCATCACACAGGCAGTTCCCATCAGTGCTCATCTCTCTGAATTTAACCTCCATTTCTCCTTGCTCACAGTCCATCACTGCACTATTTCTGCCTTGACTCTGGGCCCTCCTGCTTGTTCCTGCCCTGCTGTTACCTGCTCCCAATATGACAAGTATGATTATCAAAAGGCCTGTTTTCCAGAGATTTTATAAGACAACCTGCAATTTCCTATCCTTCAGTGGGAGAAAGGTTCTCAGTTCAGGAGCTGAACAGGAAAAAAAAAAAAGTGAACGGTTCAGGGGAAGGCACTTAATCCTCTTCAGTTCTGCCAGAATCTGACATCATTAAGAAGATAAGTAAATAATACTAGAGGCAACATCAAGATAAAATGTAAATGTGCACAATGCAGCTTTTGCACTTAACCAGCCCTTTCTTTTAGTATTGGTTTCTTATTGCTACTGAAATAAATTCTACAAACCTAATGGCTCAGAACAAATTTATTTCTCTGCCACTGTTGAGATGAACAGTCAGGAAGGAGCTTCAGTGAGTTCTGTATATTTCATCGAAGTCTTGGTAGACTATGTTCTTTGAGGGTAGGTCCAGCCTGTGACCCATAGACAGAGCCTGACCAAGGATAGCTATAAATGCAGCCTAACACAAAACTGTAAATGTAAAAACTGTGAAGTTTTTGAAATTGTTTTTGTATTAGATTGCATAGTACTTTTGTTTATTTCAAAAACCTTATTTTTATTTTATGTGTATGAGTATTTTGCCTTCATTATAGTTGTGTACCACTGTGCATGCAGTGTCTGAGGTAGCCAGAAGAGGGAATTGGATGCCCTGTAACTGAAGTTACAGATGGTTATGACCTGCCATATGGGTGCTAGGAATTGAACCCAGGTCCTCTGGAAGAGGAGACAGTTCTCTTAACTGCTGAGTAATCTCTGTAGTCTTGATTGCAGCTTTTTTATTGTGAACTTTGTATATGACAATGTTGTTTTACAATGACAAATGTTGACATGCTTGCAAGTGTCTGGAGAGAATCTCTTCCTTGTTGTGAATGATACCTGTGATCTCCCCTTTAGCTTCTGAATTTCTGCTTCAGGTTCAAGTGAGCAGTTGCTTCCCTCTGACATGCCCTTCTTCTCTGACTCTCATTCTCCCCCACCCCACTTTAACATGAAAACCTTTGTGATATATTGGCCCTAGGTAGGTAATCCAAAATGACATTCTAATCTTAAAATTCTTGACTGGATAATATTTTTCAAGTCTCTCTCAAGTATGAATATATATATATATATACCCCCAAATTATTTACATATACACTATATATGTGTATGTGTGTATATATATATACATATATATATCCAGTATGTATATGTATGTATGCATATGTATACCCAGTACGTGTGTGTCTGTGTGTGTGTGTCTGTGTGTGTGTGTGTTTTCACAGGTTCTGTGTATTAGGGTATGGAAATCTTTATTGATATACTGACAACATTTTCCTTTGCTAATTTCATGGATAATTTGCAGAACTCTTGTAACACCAATGTTCCTTCATGTTTAAGTGTTTTGTGTACCTTCTCACTTATTGCTCACAGTGATTCCACAGGTGACAGTTTTTTTTGCAAATCTATTGTGTATGGGAAGAAAGAGGGGGGAGAGATGAAAAGAAACATTATAAATAAATCAAGTAGGACAATATCTAACTAATCCTCTAACACTGGCTCATCTGTATATATTACAGTGTTCTTGCATTGCCTTGCTAAGAAATGATGAAAATTTGGGTCACCCAAAGGGTATCTTCTAAAGACCCTTCCCCTATCCATTCTGCATCTTTTCCAAATCAGGGTTCAGTCCTCTTATTTTCCAGAATCTTTTCTGTGTCCTTATCACATTACTGTGAATGGGCGGGGAGTCCTTTAATGTTTGGTAGCCTTTTACACATGGGTCTAAGTTGTATTATCTCTTACAAGGATACCCCAAGACACGCACATGTGGTCAGGATCTATTCTAGTCCTCCTGACTCCTGGTCCTTTCCATGGCTTTGTTCTGGTCATGATGGGTCATTTCTGGCATGGGAGTGGGGCTGTGACTGACTCTCTTGCTGTCCTGACTTTTGAAAATGCCATTTACTTTGGAGATGTAGAGGTGATCCAGTTTGACATAGAAAGTCCTGAGAATTTTAAAACAATAATGTGAAGGAAACTATCTCCTTTGACTCCCCTGAGTAATTTGAAGCTGGTCTGTCCCTCTGGTAGAACCCTTGGTGACTGTGTTTCCTGGCTCTTTGTTTACTATATTCTCATAGGGTTGGTACTGCCTCATTAGCTGCCCTGGCCATTCCTGTATCTCCATTTTAATATGTCTCAGATGGGAGGTGGATTGGAAAATGACCTGAAAAAAATGAGTTATGCACATGGAGAGATTATTTACTTCATTGAAGAAGCAACAGGGATCTCATCTGGAAAGACTTGGGGCCTGGGAATCATAAATAGCCAGGTTTCTCTAAATCCAGCCAGACAATTAGAACCCTCCATTTCACTTTAGAGATAAAAATTACATTAAAGCAGGCAATGGGGATAAAGTCTTAGGGAGAAGTGTGTGAATTGATGCTGGAAAGCCTGGATGAGTGATGTGTTTGCTCTACATATTTATTTAACCTCTTTGACATTTGATTTTTCTGAGGAGAGCAGCAGTAATATACACCTCAACAAGGCTGTGAAGATTAAAATGGAGAATTATACAAAAGCACCCAGCTTAGGATCTGCCACATACTAGGTGCTTAGTAAATACCCACTCAAAATGCATCCACATGCACGCCTTACCAGTTATTACAGCTTGCTACTGTGAAAGAATTCATTTAACCCAAAACATCACACCTAAAATTCAGGTTGCTAAAGACAAACACCTATGTGTATTTGCCCTGTTCTTGCACATCTTGGTAGATTTGACATAGGAAAATGAATGGAATAGTGCTGTGGGGGACTCATAGTCTTAAGTGGGGAACAGTCATGGACCAGGATGTGTGGAATGTTTGTAAAATACAGAGAGGCACAGCTGCCTTTCAGATGGTGGGGTGATTGATGAGGGAACTTCCTAGAGATAGTGACAAGTTGAACATGGATTAGTGGGATATGGGCTATTCCCAGGGACATAGAACTTTCCAGGGAGAGGAAAGAGAATGTGGCAAAGAAGGGAGGTAGAAAAACCCCTATCCATAGTGACAGCCTGGGGCAGATGGAGGTCAAAGTCTGGGTGGGTGAGACATTGATCACCAACTGAGGAGCTGAGAGAAAGGTTGATTACTGATGCTCTGTGTAGGCTGTAAGTTTTGTTAATCTGCTGAAGCCTGTCTTTGGGGAAATATTGTGATTTCTTCTTATGAGATGAAGAGAAATAGGAGGGAGGAAGGTTAAGGGGATGTAGCCAGCTCCAAATGTATGCTGAGCCACAAACTGATATGATTAGGAGAAGCATTCCTCCCAGTCCCTTCCAACCAGGCATCCCTCCTCTTGAATCATCTCTTCTTGTTCTCCCTCTTCCTTCCTTCATATTTTTTGAGAAAGAGTTCATTATATAAGCTGGCCTCAAACTTGTAAGCCTACTGCCTCAGTTTCTAGAGTGCTGGGCTGACAGACGTGGTAGTGCATTCAGTGTGTTGGGTTTATTTTTAACTGATACTTCAGACTAGATAGAAACAGTTTGTCATTGTATTTCTAGGAAATCCTGGGCCCCTGGAACATGGAAGGAGTCATGGAGTCTATGTTGAATATTGTCAGAAAGCCTCTGATGCTATGATTTCTTCTCTCTTTCCCTTCCTGTATCCTCAGCAATGGAATGGCAGAGACACGGCCCTCATGGTCACTCGTGTGGTCAACCACAGACGCTTTTCGGCCACAGTCAGTGTGGCAGACACCTCTCAACGCAGTGTCTCCAAGTATCGCTGTGTAATCCGCTCAGATGGTGGGTCTGGTGTATCCAACTATGCAGAGCTGATTGTGAAAGGTGAGTGCCACAACTTTACTGAGTGAGTGGTTACAGGACTTCTTCACTCCATTTTAGACAGCAAGCCTCTTCTCTCACCTGTTGCTTCCTCCTCCTCTTCCTCTTCCTCCTCCTCCTCCTCCTCCTCCTCCTCCTCCTCCTCCTCCTCCTCCTTCCAACAGCACAAGGAAGCTTTTCAGTCACTGCTTTCCAGAAGATTTTCTCTCATATGGGATGCCTACATGTGGGATATATACCACAGAAGCAACCTCCAAATTTGACTTGATTTCGTGTTTAAAATCAAGATGATCACATGTCCTTTGTGGTTTAGGGATGTACTACTGAAATGTTCTCATACAATTGTGTGTGGGGGACGAGTGTTAACTGCAAGTTCTGTGTAATGACAATATTTCAGAAAGGCTGTTGAAATAGTGAGCCTACCTACCAAATAGTCTTGAGTCAATGTTCATAGTGTGTATGTGTGTGTTTATTCACCTTGAGGTACTAGTTCCATACTTTTCATTACAATATGCACATGGTCCCGTGTCTTTGTTACCTTTCTGTTGCTAGACAAAACATCATGGGTAAGGCAACTTATAAAATAAACATTTAATTTGAGGCTCATGGTTCCAGAGGGTTTGAGTCCATGATCATTATTGTAGGGGAGAAAAGGCTGCAGACAGTTAGATATGGTAATGGAGCAGTAGCAAAGAGTTCACATCTTGAACCATAAGCACAAGGCAAAGAGAGAACAAACTAGGAATCGTCTTGGCCCTTAAAACCTCAAAGTTCACCCCCAGTGACACACCTCTTTCAATAAGACCACACCTTCTAATCCTTCCCAAAAAGTTCTATCAACTGGAGACCAAGCATTCAAATGTATGAGCCTATGGGGGCCACTCTCACTCAAACCACCACATTCCCTTTTCTGCCCCTTTGGTGAGGTTACAAATCCTTTGCCTACTCAAGCTCTTCTTTGAGTTGTCATATTTGTCAGGCATATACCATTTGTGCTGGTTTGAATGAGCAATATCACTCATAGGCTCACATATTTGAACTCTTGGCTTCAAGTTACTGGTACTGTTAGGGAAGGTCATGGAACCTTTGGGAGGTGTAGCCTTGTTGGAGGAAGTAACTCACTGGGTATGAGCTTTGAGAGGTCATACCCTGTGGCACCTGCTGTGCGGCCTGCATCCGAGAATGTAGCGAGGTGGTCGGGATAGATGACACAGAGACCTGTCGGTTGCTTTAAGAAAACTTTATGCTTCCCAAGTCAGCTTAGGAGGAGACCCCAGTCCGCTTAGCAGAGAGCTCTCAGGAGAAGTTTCTCTAAGAAAAAGGAGCTTCCCTTTTTAGGGACTTCTGCCATTCATCTACATACCATTCTTTCCAGACTTCCCACCCTCCTGGCTGGTGGTTTAATCTCCGGCCCCAGAATCGGGGAGGCACCTCAGGGAAACAGGAAGAGGCATCTAGCCATAGGGGGTGTGAAAGGCATGGTATTTCAGTGAGTAAGCCCTTATCTGAGCCCTATCAAGAGCTTTAGCACTGAATTGTTTTCAGTAAACATTACACAGCTGCCTGCTCCCAGGCCAAAGGGGAAGTGGGTTTCTGCTCAAGGTCTGGTGTCCCCACAATACCCAGCTTCTACCTTGCTCTCTAATTTGAATTTGTGACAGGAGATGTGATCTCTAAGCTTCTTGTTCTGGCTGCCTGCTGTTACAGCCCCCCCTACACACACACACACACACACACACACACACACACACACACACACACACACCATGTGGATTCCCCTTCTGCAACCACCAAAATAAACTTTGCCTTATTTAAGTTGCCTCTGGTGTTATCAGGTCAACAGAAAAATAACCAACACACATTCTGTCCAATGCATTTTCCTCCTTTAAAAAAAAATCTCCATATTCATACACAGTCTTTTAAGTATTTCCAGGTGTTTCTACTTTTATTGTTTCTTCCTTTGAGTATGTAAAAATTTACATCTCAACACAGTTCTTCCAAAACAACAACTCATAATAATTTTAATTTTTTGTATTATACAGAATCAGGTTCTTTCCTTAGATAAATTCTCTGGAAGTTGAATTGGTAGACCAAAGTATATGAATATTGTTATGGATTGTATTATTGCTTTTGCAAAGAATGGTTTGGCGGTTTATACAGGCAGCAACAGTGTTTGAATGTATTCATTTTATCACTGCTATGTTCACTGATTAAAATTTCAATATAGCAATATTTAGTGAATGAAATAATGAACCTGTGCATATTGTGCCAGCTGTAGAATAATACCTGCTGTGTTTGAAGGGAGAAAAATTGCTTGATTCTCAGAAGGCTCTGGTTGTTTCTTGCTGCTGCTGCTTTGTTGTTGGTTGAGCATGGATTGTGTAAAAACTTTGACTTCCCTTTGCTGGCTCTGTGTGATTGGTGGCTTCAATGGGACCAGAATGGAGATCACTGCCTGGACTCCCTATTCTGAAATATCCTGACTCTGGATGGACAGTCACATTGAGGATGATGTGTTAACATTCACATCACCTCATCTCTCCTTTCCTACTGTGATAGTCAATAGTGAGTGTCAGCTTGATGGGGTCTAGATTTACCTGTGAGGCAAGCCTCTGGCTGTGCCTATCAGGAGTTATCCAGATCTGGTTAGCCTTGGGACATACCTGTGAGGCACCTTGCATGCACCTGGCTGGTGTGAAGTGATGATGAGGTGATGAGAAGGATCACAGGAGTCAGTGCTGTACCCTGAATTTTGTACTAACAGAAAAAATGGGACCAGAAGATGCTTGCTTTGTTTTTTCCCTGTGTCTTCTATTCAGTGTCAGGATAAGGAGGTTTGGAAGTGCTGATCTATAGGCTACTGAGGCAGGGGGCTGCTGAAGGATTATTGCCTTGGCTTGGAGAGGAGGCCACTGGGACAGTGCTTTGTCGTTTATTGGCTGTGCTAACTGAGGCCTAGTTAAGGCAAAAGGGGACAGACAGTGTGAATTCTGACCCCATGTGCAGTAGACACATGTTTCACGGTGACCCAGCAGTTATTGCTGCTCTGTAGACCCCTCCCCTGAAGCCCATGCTCTCTCCTTTGAGCGGTGTGCTGGGAGGTTCTGCAGCTCCTCCGTAGCAGGCAGTAGTACCTTGGTCCTTTCTATAATCTGGCTCTGTTTTATGACTCCTTGATGAAATTCTTCCACTTTTTTGGCATAGGATTTTACTTTGTAAGTATCCCACCCCCACATTTTAATACTGAGTGGGTAATAAGCCATTTGCTTGGTCCCTTGAATATAGTTGCGTCCCCTCACATATGTTGTCTCATTTTATCTTAATTGCAGCTATGCACATTGGTTTTATTTCAACCTCTTTTATAGCAGAGAGAGCCAGCATAGTGGGGTTGAGGAGCTGAGGGTCATCCTAAGGGGAAAGCTGAGGTTTGGATCTGAGTCTGAGGTGTGTGTCTATAGCTATGTTGGGGGTGGAGAATAGGGCTTTGTTAGTTCCTGGTATCACAATGTTATATTCAGTGCCAAAGGGGTGCAGATAACAGACAAACAGGTAGACAACCCCCCCCATACACATAAGGGCATGGGAGGCAGGGTCACACTCACAAGTACACAAAGGAAACCTGTCAGATTCAGTGGGTGCCCAGTGGCCACTTGAAGGCAGGGGATGAGAGCATTTGAGGGCAAGGCCTTATGAAGAAGGACTCTCTCCACCAAAAACCCTTAGCCTTGGCCGAGCTAGTGGCTTACATGCTTTTGTATGGAGATGTTTGAATTAAAATGAAAAGAAGAACAGTCACCCTTTTATCAGGGAAAGGAAAATATCTGAAAAACAATGGAAAATGACTTCTTAAGGACCACTTGCTGCTGGGACAGTGGCCCACATTGTCATTCCTCCTCCTGAGTGAAGATGAATTTTGCTTATCACACAGATTGTATGGACCGAGGAGTCAGGTATGAACGTTCAGTTGACTTTGGAGCATCAGAGAAGGAAAATGATTCTTGTATGATTTTTCTTCCATTTACATAGTAATACCTGAGTTGAGATGCCTACTTTGGAACCCTGGCCCTCTGGTGACCCATCTCTGTGATGTAGTAATGCTTGAGTAGAACTAGTGAGAAATGTATAAAATGTAGCATGGGAGCATCAGCATTAATGGGGGCCTTGAAAGTCAGAGTTCTCTAGAGCCTCTCCAGTGTCTACTTTAGATGAGTCACAGAAACTCTGTAGCTGGTCCTGCTCTCATCAGCATCCCCTGGTTACATGGGCCAGTTCCTATACTTTGTGTCATTCATTCAAACTGTGGCCTCTCTAGGACTGAGAGCTCACAGCCCCCTATCCCAGTACCTGAAGTGCCAGGGCTGGAGGAATGCCTGTGCAATGGCTTCCATAGCAAGCATACACACTGAGATGAGCAGAGCAAGTCCAGGCTGAATGCCTAGCTCTCCAACATACTCTCATGTTGCTTGGCTCAGCAGCATCCTAGCATAGTGAAAATCAGGACTTTAGGAGATGTAGCCTAATCTTAGCTGTAGGTGGTATCAGCATTCTTTAGGCAACTCAGCCTACAATGAAAACAAATTGGAATTACCTAATTCTGAAGAGCTGTTTATTGAGTTGTGATAATGTAGTGGCTATATGTTAGATTACTCTGTAATTGAGGTTTCACTCAGTTGACAGCCCATTCCCTGCCTACCTGTTCCAGGCCAGTGCTCATAAATGTTCTTATTCGCTCCACTTATTTCTGCTCTTTCTGGTGTCTTCCATTTAAGGGTGTTTTGCTTGGTTAAAGGACATTAATGTCCTCAACTAAAGTTACTCAGTCACATTCTAATATTCACAAATTGATTATTTTAGAATTTGCAGCTGGGCAGTAGTGACACACTCAGGAGGCAGAGGCAGGCAGATCTCTGTTAAGTTTGAGGCCAACCTGATCTACAAAGTGAGTTCAAAGACAGCCAGAGCTGTTTTACACACACACACACACACACACACACACACACACA